CGGGGCCTTTTATCATGACTTCTGCTCGTTGCATACCTTGATCGACTACTGTACGAATAGCATTTGCTGCCGCTGTTTGGGCGGCAAAGGGTGTCCCTCTTCTCGTACCCTTCAATCCACAAGTACCGGCCGAGGACCAGGAGACTACCCGACCCCGTACATCTGTAACCGTTACAATTGTGTTATTGAAACTTGCTTGAACATGAATAACTCCCTTTGGGATTCTACGTGCACTCTTACGTGAACCAATACGTACATTCCTACGCGAACCGGTTCTCGGTATAGCTTTTGCCATATTGTATCATCTCATAAATATGAGTCAGAAATATATGGATATATCCATTTCATGTCAAAAGAGATTCTTTATTTGTATATTGAGTCCTTTAGCAAGTCGGATTATCCTTGTCTTTGTTTATGTCTCGGGTTGGAACAAATTAGTCTAATGCGACCCCGCCTGCGAATTAGTCGACATTTTTCACAAATTTTACGAACAGAAGCTCTTATTTTCATAGTTTTTATTCCTTATCTTATATCTTAATTCCGAATTTACTTTTTGGTAGAAAAGAAGTTTCTTGAAATTTTTCATCTAGAATCGTAGTGAATAAAAACCACCTAATCTTTCGAATCCTTGTTTCGGAGTCGATAAATTATACGTCCTCTGGTTGAATCATAACGACTTACTTCAATTTTGACTTTATCTCCCGGCAGTATCCGTATAAAACTACGTCGGATCTTCCCTGAAACATAACCTAGAACCAGATCTTCATTATCTAACCGAACCCGGAACATGCCATTGGGAAGTGATTCAGTAATTAAACCCTCATGAATCCATTTTTGTTCTTTCATTCCAGGTAAAGACCCCCTGAAGTATCAACTAATGGTGAAGAAAGGATATTAGGCAACTGATCCTCTTTCTTTTTTTTACAAATAGGAAGAGGTTTCGGATTCCATTTCGATAGTAAAAGGATTACCATACGGAACACAAAATTTCTCCGCCGATTCCTTGTAGTCGAGCCTCCCGGTCTGTCATTATGCCTCGAGAAGTAGAAAGAATTAGAATTCCCATCCCACCCAAAATTCTAGGAATTTGTTGAGAGTTGGAATAGATTCGTAGACCCGGTCGGCTAATCCGTTTTAAATTTAAAAATTTTCTATAGGGTCTTTTCCTATTTCTTCTATGTCCCAGGGTTAAAACCAAAAAATAGTTGTCTTTTTCTCTCTGTTTTCGGACGTTTTCGATAAAACCTTCTCGGAAAAGGATTTTAACAATATTTTTGGTAATATTAGTAGATGCTATGCGAACAACTCTTTTTCTATCCATATCGGCATTTCGTATCGAGGTTATTATCTCAGCAATAGTGTCTCTACCCATGATGAACTAAGATGATTGTTGCTTTCAAATTGGATATAATCAACATGTTTTTTTGTTTTTATTGGTTTCGAAGTATGAATTTTGCAAGGTGTATACGTGAGACACAATACTACGAATTAATTTCGTTATTAATTTATTTCTGTCAAATAAATCAAAGATATCACGATCTTATTTTATTTTATAATACCTCGGGAGCTAATGAAATTATTTTAGTAAAATTTAATTGTCTTAATTCCCGGGGAATTGCGCCAAAAATTCGAGTTCCCCTTGGATTTCCTTCTTGATCAATTACAACTGCAGCATTGTCATCATATCGTATTATCATACCGCTGTCACGTTTAAGTTCTTTACAGGTACGAACAATCACAGCTCTGACTACCTCGGATTTTTCTAGGAGCATATTTGGTACTGCTTCTTTGATCACGGCAACAATAACGTCACCAATATGAGCATATCGACGATTACTAGCTCCTATGATTCGAATACACATCAATTCTCGAGCTCCGCTGTTATCCGCTACATTCAAATGGGTCTGAGGTTGAATCATATCAAGTTTTTGCTCTATTCTTTCAATGCAAAAGATGAAAAAACTAAAAGAGATATTGGTTGTCCAAAAAAAGAAACCTGCAATTTTGTTTCATTCCCAAAACTCATTTCTGTCGGTTCTACATTTTTAGACCGAAATAACAAATTGAGTTCGTATAGGCATTTTGGATGCGGCTATTAAAATAGCCCTTCTAGCAATAGTTTCACTTACTCCACCCATCTCATAGAGTATTTTCCCTGGTTTAACAACAGCTACCCAATATTCCGGGTATCCTTTCCCAGAACCCATACGTGTTTCAGCGGGTCTTACTGTAACTGGTTTGTCTGGAAATATACGCACCCATATTTTTCCACCACGGCGTGCATTTCGTGTCATTGCTCGTCGACCCGCTTCGATTTGTCTAGATGTGATCCAAGCGGGTTCAAGTGCCTGAAGAGCATATTTCCCGAAACAAATATGATTACCTCGATATGATATTCCCTTTATTCTTCCTCTATGTTGTTTACGGAATCTAGTTCTTTTGGGGTTATAGTTGATAGTTGGTTCGGAATTCCATCTCTACTACAGAACTGGACATGAGA